ACCCGGCCCGGCCCCGCCCCGCTGCCAGCGCGTTCCCCCGCCGCCCGGAACTGCCCTCGCAGGCCGGCAGGATCAGGCAGCCAGCTCAGCTCCTGCCCAAGGTTCAGACACGCAGCTGCAGCTCAGAGGGGGCGATCAGCGCCTTGTGCTGCCGCTGTGAACAGCCGGGAAAAGAACGGCTGCGGCCACTGCTCTGCGAGACTTGCTTCTCTGTGCGTGACTGTAAATTGCACACACACGTTAACATTTGTTTTGGCACAACACATGCAAAGACTGAAGGAAAATACATAAATGTCAGCATTTCAAAAAAACACTTACACAAGATTGCTTACGGTTAGGCTCCAGTCCGCCTTATCCAACAGCATCTCGATTGCCCAAGGCTCACAGCCGAAGATACCAAGGGACGATCAGGCCTCAATTACATGCTGCAATCATCTATAATGATGCAAAAATTAAACTACGATATGCATATGCACACACTGCTTATGTGCTTTATGATCTGTGCACACACCTAACACCAGAGTGCCTGACCAAGTACGCACATGTTGGTACAAGCTAAATAATCACAAGAAGTGATTTGGGTAGTTTTCTACAGAGCTGATTAGAATTCTTCACAGAGAGTTGATGCTGCCACCAGTAAAACGCCTTCCCTCAGAGCCCCAGCCCTTTAGCCTGTTACCCGCAAAGGTAGCAAGCGAGGATGTGCCACACCAAGAAACGGATGGGGTTACCAGGTAGGAATGAGCCATGAACGAACACGGAGCCCGGCCCACAGCCCAAGGTTTCAGGAAAGGATCATCTTCACAAATAGACCTGATTACACGCCTGGAGTGTAATCAGAATCTGCAAAGCGTAGAGATTGCTTTAGCAATTTAACAGGCATCTAAGGCACGTTTACAGCCAAATTATAGACGTTGTTCTTCAAATAACTCCTACAGAAGGGCAGCCACGCTGACTTGGTCTAAAACAGTCTTACAACTTTCTCATCAGGTTAGAACGGGGACTGAGGGAATTAGTCATACTGTAGGGGTACAAGAGCCAGAAAAAATGCAGATAAATCTCCATCTTATGAATTGTCTGTAATTATCACATTCTCTGCAAAACCTCCGCAGCATACAAAGATGAGCCTACTGCTGCAGGTGAGATCAGTTCAGGGCTGAAGACAAGCTGACTCACACGGCACCCAAGCACTAAACAGGTGATGGTAATGGACAGGAAACAGCAATAAGTATTAAAACTTACTGATTTTATTAAACCCAAAACATAAGAATTCATTTTTCCTTGTTTTTCTCAATTTGGGAAACAGAAAGAGGATTCATTTAAAAGAAAATTTCCAACCTATTCACATTACTAATGCAAAATGAACCAAGCCTCTATAGAGCAACTGCTTTTTTTCCTGTTTCAGCAGAAAAAATTGGACCTTTGATTTTTCCAGCTGAAAAGGGTAAAGAAAGAAACAAAGAGCACTTACAATTCTAATACAACATTAATTATCCTAAGACTAATCTTTTCTAACATACAGAAATTAGTTCAGTATTACTAACTACATTAAAGCCAAATTAATTCAGCTATAAAACATGCATATTTTGTGTGATCCGTTTAAAAAAACAAAAACCAAAAAAACCCGAGGAGCATAGACACAGCATTTTCTTTTAGCCCCTGTAACAAAACAATAATATAAATTAAGCAGTAAAGAGGGGAAAAGAATTCTGCAAAATAATACAATTTATCACCTAAACTCAAAGACATAAATCAGCACAAAACATACTATGCCCTAGAAGTATTTTTCATTTGACCTTGGATTCAAGTGTAATTGTTGCTACACAATTCACATAATTTAAACAAGGGAAAAAAAATCTGCCTACCTAGATTTCTTTGTATTCCACAGCTTGAGTGCATTCCAGGCTGTTACATGCCCAGTTCCAACTATTTTCCCCACTTTAGGTTCCTTTTAGAAAGAAATGTCGAAAAGGTTGAAAACACTATTTTTAGCAATAAAGCTTCCAAACATTTTGAAACACTTAATCTTTTATTAATTGACATTCTCACATATACTGAATAGATATAATCCTCTCAGGGTTGCTGCTAAGAAAGGGTAGAAAAAATACCATACTCCTTGCTGGGGGGAGCCTTTATTACATGAACTAATTTGTGCTGCATCATGTCAGACATGAACCACAACTTACAAAAAATTTGTAAAGGAGCTTTCAGGCATTGAGAGTAAGGGCTATGGCAAGAAGTTAGAAAAAAGTTCATGGTCTTATTCAAAAAAATCTTTCTGATGTCCACTGACAGCAAAGATTCTTTGCTTGCCATAGTAAAAGAAGAATGGTTTATCTAAAAAATGGAAGGAAACCTGTCAATAATTTACATATCCACATAATTTCTTTAGTAAATTGAACTTGGAACTAGTGTATTCATTTAAAATTGTTTAAAATTTCCCAAAGGACAAGTAACTAACTTTATTCTCTAGTACCATGCAGCATAAATAAGATTTCAGCTACTGGGGATTTTATTCTTTACCTGATATGTCACAGCTATTTAATGGACTAGTACAATGTATTTTATTATTCTTCATACAGAATACTACAGTAGAGCAAGGTTAGAGGAAAGTCTTAGCTTTATATGTGTATTACATAAAGACGTACAGACACTCTATTTATTTTTATATGTGTTAACGTCCCAAGACTGCTAGATTAATTTAAAGATCAGGAGAAACAGAAGGTGGTAATGGCAAAATTTTTCTCACTGGAGAAGACAGATGACAGAATACACACTTGGATATCATTTGAGAGTCACTACGCCGCAGGCGTAAGAAAGGTTTTTCACGTTCTTCACACTGGTGTAAATAGAACAAAAATGGCATTTCAGTTAACCATCTGTGACAGATGTGCATTATTCCACTCATGAAGGTACAGCTCTACATACACGCATATATCTAGGCCTGATTTTTTGAGATGCACTGACGTATAGCTGTCGTAAACTTGACACAGATACTGCCGCTCAAAATTCATTCCTGTGTATTTTATGGGAACTCTGATTTTATTTTTTTCAACTAATACTGTAATCATACTTTACTTTTTGGGTGGCTTGATGGGTATCCAGTTTTTAGCTGTTCTGTCTTGGTCATAATTACTAGGTGGTTTGGGGCTTTGTTTACTTTTTTTTTTACCTGACCGTTACCTGACTAAAGGAGAAATGTAGAAAGAAAAATTTAAAAAGGATAATTTATACTTAACAATAATTTTAGATTAAATATTAACCCACTGTAGTCAGTACAAAGAAGTTTTTCTGCTGACTACACACATACTCATGAAGTTTAATCCAATTCTACCAGAGTCAACATAACATTAATTCCCAGTTCACTCTTGTGAAAATATTTACAAAAAATTTGAGATATTTTTCTAACTGTTTGGTATGCTTTAAGTATTGCTAAAATGCACCAAAGAATCCTTTCCTGTACCAATTTTAACCATATTCTCAAATTTCTGTTAATTGATACTTTTAGGAATGTACACATCTTCATTGCTGGCACATTTGTAAAACTTATTTAAAAGCTTAAAAAGCTGCACGTTGAATACCTGCTATTCAACAAGAAAGCCTGATAAAAATATTATAGAAATAATAAAAAAGTTAGTTCTTTTTCATGCAGTTTCACTTATTGGTTATTGACAAAGAGAAAAATATACACATGATCTTGCAAATCCACTACCAAAACCACTGAGGGACTGCAATAAAAAATGTTTGAATAGCATTAAGCTTGTTAATGTTCTTCTCTCTTAACATCTATTTCTAATTAATGTTTTAGAAGTCAGAATACATACAGTCTCAGCTTTAAAAAGACACTCCTTGGAATTCATGTAAGCTGATTTATGTCCAGGAGCACATGAATATTACCTGCCTTGGTTTAGTAATACTCCTATATAAGCAGCCTATTACTCTGCGGAAGCATCAGGTGTAGAAAATCAAAATATTTTTAAAAGTACACATACGTGGCTCTGTTTTCTAAAAACAAAAAATGCACCTGTATATGAAAACTGGTGTCCTTACCAAAATCAATTTAAAAAAAGAACTGTTATTACTACATCCCACTCCTAAAAAAGGATTCGACAATTTTTGCAAATACAGAACAAACACAATCAATTTGTGTTTTCAGCCTGGAAATCTGACAGCTTTCCTTTAGCATTCAAATTTTCTTTCTGAATAAAGTATGAGGTGTGGTTAAAAAACAATGTGATAGGACCTGAGCAATTTTTGAGCCTCTTTCTTTTCTGCTTTCTATCACTGAAGGAATATGATCCGTTTTTTCAATATTCCACAGTCTCAAAGTAGAATCCTGAGAAAAAGATGCAATTATTTTGATGTATTTGCATATTACCAAAAAAGCAATTTACATCATTTCCATAAGGATGAAATCTCATCTCATCAGATTAACCCCCTCAGTGAGAGCTAAACTCTCTCGCATTTAAATACCATGTCTTTGGAAACAATCTTTAGCAAACTTATAACTACCTGCACATTTAAAAATAACCAAAAATAAACATACTTATCAAATTCTTTTAAAGATTTTCTGTAATTACTTGAGGTAAATACTGATTATAACTTAGCACTTTCACGAACAACTTCACCATTGTTAAATTCCATCGGAAAAAAAAAAGCTGAAAACAAGGGATGAAATCTTCACATCCATTTATAAGTTAGCTCCTGAAACCACATCAGGAATTAGTGATTACCTTTGAGGTGGAAAGAATCCACCACTTCTTTTGCTAATCGCAACATCTGTTACCCAGTCCCAATGACCCTACAGTAAAGCAAAATTTAACTATAACACAAGGAAGAAAACTTTAAACCTAGTTGTACCATAAATCCATTTTGAAATGCAGTGAGAAAATTCTTATCTAGACTGCCTCATGTCCAGTCAAGAAAAAAAATGATATCAAGTTCATACTTTCCTACATATACCTGAAAACAGTGGCTGTTACGATCTCTGGTAACCAGACCACCAGCTGTGGCACTCAGAATGACAGCTACACAGTTACCATGGGTTTAAGCTCCATTTAAGCATAGGTCTTTTCTATTTTTTGAACAGTTTAATAGAGAATTGTAAAGAGAGAGTTGACTTCTAATACTCATTACCTAAAAAAATCTTGAGGCTGTTTATCATGTGATAATGGAAGGAAGAGCTGTGGGAACAGACAGCAGCTTCCCCCCATTTAAGGGAAGGAAACCAATTCTGAAAGCAGGCCAAGTCAAGCAGCTGTATCGGATATCCTCGTTCTGACAACAGCAGCACCGCTGATTTGAGGTTAACAGCATTCAGCTGGCATAAGAATAGAAACAGGTTAAAATCTAAAATTAATTATTTATTCCAGCTAGGGAGGTTATTCAAACATGAATGGTATTAACAGATAAAATTCCGAGAGTTTACGAAAGCATAGTGTCATTTTGATAGCCAAATGCCACACCTAAGAAATACAATAAAAAGATGAACATACATTTTTCCAGCACAGAGAAGTCGTCAAACATGTATACATAAAATGTGGTTTTTACAGCAGAATCTTTAAAACATATTTTTAAACTCAGAATTATATTCTGAGCCCAGAATATAATTATACCAAGGCACAGATACTAAACTGGAATTCTCCATAGTTACAAAGATATTAGCATTTAAACAGATGCCTTCTTTTTTATGGGAAACTGAGTTACTTACAGTTGTTGCTGTGAACTGGGAAACCTGCAGTAGCTGTATTATGTAAAGCACCAATGCTGGTGGAGAATGTGTACTGTTACTGCTCAAAAGGTTTAACCAGTACAGTTCCAGTTCCGGAGGGTAGGTAAGCTTATGTTTAAGGTAACGGGTGTGAGGCACAGGCTTATGAGCTCTCCTATATGAAGATGCTATCTTGAATGCGACAGCAGTTGAAAGCTATTTTTAAGCCCAAGGTTTTGAAGGAAAGTGGTCTTTTCTGAGATCTTCCAGGTGGGTTTGTTCATGAGTGTTTTAACTAAGCCTTGAATAGTGTATGCAGTAAGTAAAAAAAAAAAAGTCCATTAAAATTGTATTTTCATAAGATAAGAAAGAGCCAAGGTTGCAAATCTGAACTCTGACATTGTTTGACTTCTGTGAAATTAACATTTGCAAAATGCATGCATGTAACTATGAATACTGTTAATCCTTTTTATTTGACCCACATGTCTGATCATTAGTTCAAGTCTTGTGGATTGTTTCCACTAAAATAAGAAACGAATGAAAGGTATTGTAATACAATATGGTATGTTTGCAAAAAATAAAGTCATGATGGCACAAAAAAACCATTAGCTAATGAGAGTTGGACTTTTATGCAGATATTACTTACCACCTCAAATTTTAGGTAGTATTATCATGGATACAGAAGAAAAGAGGCTAGCTTTAAGCAGGAATAGCTAAATACTAAATAGCTGCCTCATTTACAGAATTGTCCATCCTAAAAAGTACTGTAACATGGTGGACCACATCCCCATCACTATAAGCAGTAATGTAAACTATGTAACCTAGGGACTGAGCTAAGCTTGACAACCTCAATACTGATATTTACTTTTTTTTTTTAATGCTTCCCTTTTAATGTACTGTTTTCTGTGGACACAAGCAAGCATGTAAACATACAGATATACAAGAGTGCGGCATTTCAAAATGAATATATGCACTATCCAGGCTCTTGTTACTTGCTGGAAGAAAGTCTCTCCTATAACATAGGTACAACTCCATTCAGTATAATCCTTAAATGTGCTTGTTCATAAAAAGAGAAATGTAATAGCTTATTAACAACTGACTTGACAAAGGTAATACCTTTGTAGCTAATTGTGTAAGAATATGCTGTTCTAGGAAATTAAATCATGCAAATCCAGGATATATTCCTGCTTGTATCTAAAAAGGACGGGCAAGGGTATTTGTCAGATAATGAAATATACAATGCTTTTAAACAAGCAATACATTTTACACCGTCTCATCAAATCAGTGACCAAATAAGAGCTCAGTACCTTTAAACTTAGCTTTTTATAGCCTGCCTCTGTATCCCATATAGCTATAGTTTTGTCATATCCGCCAGACACAACAAGTGATGCTGAAATATAAAATCAGAATACTATATTTTATCTTTGCTTTATCATACAGACTAATAAAAGAAGCTCCTTCTAACAGTGAGTCAGACTTTATAAAAAAATTTAAATAATGAGCTATTAGTCATGCCTTAACAAGATAGCAGAAGTTCCTTTCGGCTACTTGTTTTCATGTTCTTAATTTTGTAAATATTAATACATAAATTTAGCAAACACACAACTGAGTGGAAAAAAACATACATGAAAATTCTGTTGACTTAAAAAATTAAGGAGATGATACCTTGTTTAAGAATTAAAATATAGAGAACACTTTCAGAATTGTTAGGTAAACTGTAAATAAAAACAAAAAAGTAGAGTTTAGTGTGGAAAGCATGCTTTCAGATTCCAATATTCATAGGCCTATCTGTATTTGCATGTCTTCAAGCCACAGGTACCTTTTTCCCCACAGAGTTGCTATTTATTTATTTGAGTTGCCTAACTTAGAAGGCACTGTATGAGTATGACTGCAGATTAACCCGCTGTCAGCAGTTCAGGAGTCATCTTTACTGGAGTATTCAGATGTGAAGTTGCAAAAGAAAACAGCCAATTAGATCGCAATGTACAGAAATCCATATTACTCCATCCCAGTGAAGAGAAGGGAAGCTGTTTCAGTACAGTAGCAGTTTGCAGTAACACCAATTTCATGTTGTGGAGGGACTAGGAGTTGTGTATGATCTAGTGAAAGTAATGTTACTAGGGCAGTAAGAAATAGCTCCCCACTACCTCCACTCAGATATAGGTAAACTGGGGAGTCTGTTTCTTCCTCCTATTCATGCAAGCATCAAGGAGACATCAAGTTCCAGGTGCCAAATTGTCTTGCTATAACTCATAAATATCATCTACTTTGAACATGGTAGTTTATGTGCTCCATCAGTGTAGCTGACAACATCCGTGAAGTTTTTCAGAAGTACATTACTAGCATATGTTATTTGGACTGTGAAGTAACATTACTTTTGGGGGTACTAACAAAGACATACACATTTTCCTAATTATTACAGATCAGAACAGTATTTACTGAACATGTTTTTTCAACTAACTCATGTTAGGAGAATATCCGCATGTGCTAAGTTAATCTTCTAACATAGTATTGCGCTTATACTCCATTATGATCTTTTTATTAAACCTATTATACCTCTTGATGGGTGTATCAATTAAGCAAGCGTTCCAGTTGCCTGGTTAAGACAGAACACAGACCATCAACTTCAATTTACTTATTTACATGGACATCATTTTCTCATAATTAAACATGTTATCTTGGAAATGATGAATTAATTACCTACATGATTAGAGCAGTCACTCATGGTTCATCTGAGATGTCCTATACGTAGGTATTGAAATACATTGTGCACTAGTATTAAGACAACTCACTATCTTGGCTAAAAAGGCAGGAACTAACAGAACCTTCGTGTCTTTGGTTCAAGGAAATGGGTTCATGACACTGAAATTCTCCTGTCTTTATGTCCCATATTTTTAAGCTTTTGTCCCAGGATGCTGTGCACAAGTAATGACCATCAGAGGTAAAGCAGCAGTCTGAAATAGCATTGCCGTGTCCCCTGAAACACAGATGAAAAACACAGGAAGAGTGAGTTTTTGTAACCATTACAAATCTCTCAAAGAGCGTCCTGCAACATTAAGCACCCTGTCTCCATCCAGTAAAGCACCGTAAGCATATTCTGAATTTTAACCACAGGGAATAGTTCTGTAAAGTCTCTGGAGCTACTTACAACCTCACAGCCAGCGCAGGCTTAAATCCCTTATTGGATTAGGTCATTTTGCAGGACTGAACCCTAGCTGTTAAGTGACAAGTGACCAGCTATTTTTTTTTTTGAATGCAGCTTAACAAGAAATTGTTTAGCAGCTACAACACAACCACATTTTACTAAGTTACCAAAAAAAGCCACCCATTTTTCATTAAATAAATAGCATGTATCTATCTCCACATGTTAATGTCAACTCAAACATTCAGAGGAAAAAGATTAAACAATTCTAGATTAAAGTCTAATTTTGGAAGCAGTGATACCCATCAGAAAAGAAATCTGGATGTTCCAGAACTGGGTGAGGACTCTAGTGCTTCCTGAAATCTACAGTGGGGAAAGGATTATGAGCATCTCTTACAGGAAACAATGCTGTAGTCACTGCAATTTAAAAGAAACATTACAATGTTGCAGATTGAATTTCCCATCCAAAGTAATTCCTAATCCCTCAAAGACAATTTTATTACAGTGTTTAAAGGCAGACTCTCTCTCCGATTATTGTTTTCAAAATTCAAAGCTAGATTGGTAGGGCTTATTTAAAGCCATTGATATTTTTAACGGTTGATTTGACATCTCTATTGTTGCATACTTCCTTTGTAAAATGATAACAATATCCTAAACTGACATAATGTTTTTACTGTATTACTGACTTCAGTGAGAGATATGAGAGTTTAGCACATGAAGACTCAGGAAATCATACTGAGCAAGGCTTCTGGCACTGGGCATGACCTTCTCCAAAAGCATATAAGGAAAAATGATCTGGAAAAACGATCTCTGTACTCAGGGAGTGGCCATAATTGGTTCACTGTGAAAATGAAAGTACAAATTGAGCTGGGGTCCACAGCATCTGTCCTGAATCCAGTCCTATTTCATACTTCCATTAGCAATCTAGATAATGAGATAAAGAGTACAGATACAAAATGAAGCCAAAAAGGGTCTGCAGTTATACGAGGGAGAACATTAAAATTCAAAATTATCTTCACAAATTGAAGAAATCATCAAGAAAATAAAAGGGTTGTAACAGTCTCATCAAGAAAATAAAAGGGTTGTAACAGTCTCTACAGGAAACAAATGCTGTCATCACTGCAGTTTGTAGGAGTGTTACGGTATTTAATCCATTGTTTAATATGCATGCTGCCTGATCAGGTCAATTTTGTCAAGTCTGACATTCTGTAGTAACATACAAATAACCAACTGCACAGATAAGAGGCGGGAACAATGGACTATGTCACAGTTCTGCAAAAAAAGGATGCAACAAATATTGACTCCTCTTCACCATCACGCTGTCAAAAAAAGAGTAAATCTCACCCCAGGATGTATGAACAGAGGCACACTCACAGAGAAGCATGTAATAATAATTCATTTCTATTTTTTTTCAGTTAGAGGGGATACTGTTTACATTATGGGGCCATATAGTTCAAGAAAAATGTGGGCCACTTGGAAAGATCTCACAGATCAACAAGGATGACCAGTAAAATAGGAAATAATAACTAAATATTAAATTAATAAGGACAGTTTAATCTACTGAAAAGATGACTCAGCAGATATAATAGAAGTTCTTGGATATGTATAAAAATGTAAAAGAAAAAAAGGAATAATCTGATCTCCATGTCTGAAGTGGATCTAAACAGAAACGTGAGCTTAAGCTGCACCCAAACTAGTCCACCTTAGGAAAAGGCAGTGAGGCAACAGAACAGATTGTTTGGAAGTCTGTGAGGTCTTCACTGGAGCTCATTAGAAGCAGAGTAGATGATCCTGTGGTTGCTCTGAGGCCCATGAATTCTATGGAGAGCTAAGGTGATCTGGTTGCAGTGCAAAACCTAATTATCACAAAATATTCTGTAAGAACTCATGATTAATTATCAATTCCCAACATCTAGATATATTTTCTCCTTTTCCTCTGTATTATTTTTGCTTCATTCCATAATGTTTTTAAAGACTTCACTACTGTAAGTAATATTTTATCTCCTCATTTGTCAATTATTATATATTTTTCCTAATCAGTAGAAATTAGAACAAGACGTTTACACTGCAGTACCATATTGCATATGCTATCTTCTGTCTCTACATACACCTAAGAAACTAGAAACTCTAAAAAAATAGCACTAGAAATGCTTACAGTCATCAAAATACAATTTTTCAGTTATTTACAGCAGGAAGCTTGTGTGGACCATTTTATTCATGCTTTCTATATACGTCATTTTCTTGCGTATTACTTTATTTAGTTCAACAATTATTGTTCATTTTCTCTAGTACAAATCTTAGCATAAATCTCAGCGATAATTGTGAAAGATGCAAATAATGCCATGCATAATTAACTATAGTATTGTTTCTTACTCATTAATTGCAATTGAGGTGGATCGTGTTATCATATCCCATAGCTTTATGGTCTTATCATATGATACTGAAGTCACTCTTTGGTTATCAGGGTCAAAACAACATCTTGTGATTGTACTTTTGTGATGACCAATACAAAAAACATCAAGTGAGACTATTAGTTATTTTGAATAATTACATCTGGATCTCAGAACACAGGTCTGAAAAGCAGAACTACCTATAGCTTCTATGCATCAGTCTATTTCCAAAACACTGTAATTTCAAAACTGCTATTTCACTGGCTAGGACACCTCCTCACCTACCTCTCAATGACAGAGAGGCCTCATGTTACTGCAGTTATTACGAATATGAACCTGGACCCAGGCACTCAACATACACAGTTGACAAATTCACATGCTGCCCTGTAGTAACTTATTTCTCCGCTCCATTCCTGAAAATAAGCCCGGAAGTGTGGCCCTATAATGCCAATGACAGTTAACTACTCAGACGCTTAGGGAGCACTTAAGCAGGTAATTATACTTTAAGAATGCAAATAGCTTCATTAAAATAATGTAAACAAAATATGTCCTGGTAGTGTCACCTAACAGAGACAGTTCTAATGAAGCTATTACGATCCATTTGTTGCACTTTTTATTTTTAAAACCAAATTATTTTACCATCAGGCCCTGATTCACAGGAGCACGTTAACCATATGCTAATTTAACATTTGTAAGACTGCTCATACATTTAGAAGCTGATTTTGCAGGAATGGCAAACTCCCTGACCTGCAGTCCTGAGTGGAAGCCTCATGGAACTGACGTCTCACTAGTGAAATTACCTTCAAAGGGAAATTATGCTTCAAAAAAGAATCACTGTTGGTCTAATTTTGGCCTATTAACTCCTTTTTACAAGCCTATTCTGAAAAATACTGGGTTTAATGTCTTCCAGATAGGTTTCTTTTGCCTTTCTCAAGTAAGGATATTTGAACTGAACTGAATTAATTAATTTTGTCAATTTTTTGTACGAAATAAAAAAAACCTCAGGAGCTGCATAAACAAGATGTAAAAGTTGTAAGTCTTACCTTGGATACGTGCCACTACTGTTGCACTTATTGCATCAAAACCATATATGGTATTTTCTTTGTCTGAACCAGATAACATGTATCTACCATCGCAAGAAATATTACATGAAGTTACAATGCCTTCATGTTCTACTGTCCACTAAAGAGAAAACAAAAGGTTTTAGAAACGTGCTTGAGGGTTAGAGGGAGTTTTACAGCAGACTTTCTACGATCTCTAAGCAGGTTCAGAAAGAAGGCTTTTGATATTACTTTGTTTTGGTGAAAGCTGATAGATGTCTTTATATCCAATTTTTCTACTTTTGCATTAGCAATAAACTTAAAATTAGACAAGACCACCTGTTCAAATCCTAAAATGTTAATTTAACCAATCTTAAATGTATCTTCTGTGACAGGTTGTTATTATCACACCCATTTGCATCTGAAATAACTGAGACATGTTCATCAAGAGACTTTACCCAAGATCAAGCAATTATCAGTACCAAAACTAGGACTAAAAATCAAGCCTACCTACCCTAACTATATTGTATTGTGCTAATGAAGAATGTTTTGTTTTCTTATTTATCAATAACAAAGCAATAAATCTGAATTTTACAATTGTACCTTCTGCAAGATGCATTCAAAAGGATACATACAAGCATTTTTCCTGTTTCCATATCCCAAGCCTTGGCAGTATTATCATATTATGATGTTACCACCCTAAAAATTATGTTAGTGAAAACAGCAATCAATGTTTTAACTTAAAAGAAGGTATTTAAAAAATAAATGACAACATTTAATTCTGACAATGAGTTGACATCCTCACATCCACTAATTTAAAACAGATTTTTAAAGACTACAGCAAAAATCATTGCATAACTTAGTTGAAAAAAGGATTATTTGTATTTCAGATAGAAACTAATAATAAAAATGTCATGTATGTAATTTTCAGTGCAAGCAGTCAACTCAATTTCATTTCTTCCAGTAATTATTTCTAACATTAGAATGATTTTAAAGCTATTATGATGTCTTTTCTTTAATGAATGTGAAGTGTTCTTGTCAGTAGGGTTTTTTGGATTTTCAGTGGCTATGTCGCTGCGTAACCCGCTACCACAAACACTGCTCTGCACAAACACAAAACCACATTAGACAACAAAGCTATTCAATAAAGTTTACTAAAACTGGCAGGTTTGCATGAAATGGGAGGTTAAAAAGTTTTCCTTCACACAGTTTTATTAAAATATTCCCAAATATCTAAAGTAATATTTATATTGAATGTCACTGGATGTGACAAATGGTTTTAGTACCATTGTGGCTTTTTATTTTGATAAAGTTCATAAACTGTCACTTTTATATATTTTGCCCAAGAAATTCGATGCATTAAGATTCTAACAACTAAAAATTCAATTAGATTATTAAAATCTTTTTATTTTCTCTGTATGTGTGTAGTGCCCGCACCCAACACAATCCCTGCTCCTAAACGGAAACACATAATGCGAAAGACCCCATGAAGTTTATGAACCGGTAGCATTTTTGATTGGAAAGTGGTTTCCAGGGCCGTACACAATGGTATTTTACTTGCTTTTTAGCAATTTTCAAAAATATACACAACTGCAGTAGGCAAGGTAGCACATGTACTATTCAGTGATCAAAAAACTAATCAGTCAACTCTACAATCTGATAAAAATTGATTTAAACTATGACTTAATAATAAAATATGCCAGAAATAGTACCTCTGGAGGCACTGCATGACCTACTTAACTGAATGTTAATATATGCTACAGTTGTTTTAATTATTATGTCCACAGATTGACACTGGATTAAGATGTATTTCTTCTTTAATTGACAAGACAGGCTTAATGGAAAGGCTATAGACTATTAATAAACAATACGGACAGAAAAGAACTTTTATGAAGGTATAAATCTCACTGACAGATGAGCCCCTGAACCTTGGGTAATTCAATATTTTTCTTTTATACATGTGATATATATTTACATACCTCTTTCAGAACATATGGCAAAGATAGACTTCCACCCCCATATAACTCAAAAACAGTATTAGACAAGTCCTTTACCCTAAAAGAGGCCATAACCTATCAGACTATTCCAACATGCATTTAAGACAATAGAAAGATTCCTGTTTAATTCAGCAGACATCATATGCAAAACAGAAAAGATTTAAGAGCTCCTGTACAAATTAAGGGTGAGAACAAGGTGAGATTTATGGTAGTTCACGTGGATGAAGGAGTCTGGCAGTAAACAGTCTGCTAACAGAGTATGGACAGCATAAATGAAAGCGCAAGGATGGAGAGAATTAAGAAGAGTGTATGGAAGAAGGGAGATGTAAGACAACATTATAACAGAATGACTTACCGTGGAACACAAAAGTAAGCAAAAGAAGTTTGACTTTGATGTAGTACAAGTTAGGAAACCATAGGAAGGATTGAAAAAGTAACTTTTTTGTACTAAATTTTGTACTAAGTGTTTCCACATGCACTGAAATTGAACCTTGAAATCACAAAAAAATCACTTTTTTTTTAAATAAATTAAGATAGAAAATGGTCACCTTCTGTCATCAGGAGTTAAGTTGCACTCAGAAATTGGCGGCAGAAACTCAGAAACTTGAATAGAAAAACCTTTCTCAACATCCTTGAATAAATCCAGATGACTTTGATTAGGAAGTGCTTTGCTAAATTGTAAAAAAAAAAAAAAAATATATATATACAAAGCATCACAAAATAAGGGCCAACAAAACTTGTGAAATCAGTAAAATAACTCTTTAGTTACTCCTACAATCTCAGACTCTCTATTCCTTCTTTTCATTTCAAGACTGACTGAAACAGAGTTCTTCATCTATCGGACCCAGACTTCTATTTATCTCCTTCCCATCACAATAGTTTTCACCAGAAATTTCTTGAAGAGTTCTCCTTAGACTCTCACATCCATGTCAATCCGTAAATCCTGACAAGTCTTTCTTCATAAACTGATATATGGCTTTCCATTTTCATTCACATAGTTAAAACTCACACTCTCACGGCCCGCCATCCCTGTATCAATTATTGCATCGTCTTCTTCGCAAATGCTGTCTCCCCTGCTTGTATCCATGTGCAGTGCTCTTCCACAGATTTCCCTTTACTGTCTGTATTATGTCATTCCCTCTGTTTATGTTTCTTCATTGATACCTCGTTCTCAGTCACAAATACCAAGTTTCTTGTCTTCAAATACAAAGCTCTCTGTGATTTATCCCCAGACATCATCTCCCTTCTGCCCCACCTTTGATGCCAGCCTTTGTCACTCAGTTGTTAGATTTTCAAAATTGATGAGTTCCCCTTTGCTGTCCTTCATGTTCTGAAGAAGTCACCTATAAATAACTGGAAATCTCTCTCATAATACAAAATCCCTCTTAAATTTCTGTTTTGTGATTCCTACAACAGCAATCAACAGATTGCTGAGATGATGACCCATACTGCACTACTGGTTCATTTATGTTACTCCATCACCTTCTCTCTACTTAGTCTGTTACACAGACAGTTTTAAGTGATTTCAGGAAGGGACTATCTTTTTGTCATACACGTATCATGTTCAAAGCATAGCGCAGTCCTAACCCATGAGTAAAGCCTTGAGGTTCTTTAGTAATACAAATATGAATCAAGTTTTACAAATGGATCATGGTGCCTGACTGTAAACATCAAACCCAAAAAAACCAGGAGGACTGCTGACATGCAGAGTAACTCACAGACCAAAGTATCACAGGAACAGTCATCATACCTTCATCTAGGTAAATAATCTTCTACTTCCATGATGAACCCAATTATTTCAATTAGATTTTTGTTTGCATAAGTACCAAGAGGTTTCAGAATCACTCTGGAAGCAGACAACAAACTCCCTTCATTGTATATGCGTTCTTTCATTTGTCTTAAATATGAGAATAAAATCTTGCATCCCTGACTACTCCTCCCCTTTTTAACATCAGCTGTCAAGTCTCAGATCCAGAGCTGCTTCCTTACAAGGACTTTCACTCGGAGGAGCTATCCTGCTAACTTGGCAGCTCTCGATAACAGACAAAACTGGAGTGAAAGTAAATTTATTTTTCCCTTATTTTCTGAATGTGTGTCAATGCACTTCAGGCCTAACAACTGACACTAGAATCATTAGGAAAGTCTCTAAGACAGAAGGAAAAAAAAACCCCACAGATCAAGTTACCATATGTTCTTGTTCTACTTTTCTGAGTCAAAAGAGCCTTACAGTCACAACTGCCCTTCTGGACTTACCTAGTCTGTCTGCTGTGCACCCTATTAATCTTTGTTTTCCAAAAGACGTGCGGACTGTCAGTGAGATAAGTCTGTTCTCAAGAGGAACTTCAAATGCTTTCTCAGTACACTCAGTCATTTGATATCTACTCTTTTAAAGGAAAAAAGAGAACTTCAAAGTGAAATTGTCAGGGCTGGCCTAGCCCTCCGTGACCAAGTCCTCCATACTCTCCTGAATTCTAATTGCTTCAGCTGTTCCTGCAGAGGAGGAAATTAGGCTTGTCCAGACAAAACTAAGCTTATCAAAATAAACAAACATAATCTTGCCTATAGATTGCTATCAGAAAGTTCCCAATGCTCAGGCAAATACTTTGAGATAGATTCTGAAAAATAAGTATCACTCAACAAGTGTTGAATAAATCTTTCTTAGATAAAAATTATAAAGTTTCTTAGACAGATAAATCCTTCCACACTTCAGGCAAGTGGCACATTGTAGCCTTTCCAGCAAAAAGAACATTCATGATCTACTGTGCTTAAAACAATTAATGGATTATCTTCTTATTTCTGGGTCTTGATTTCAGTTACTTACATGTAAGACAGCTGAATAACATCTCGCTAAAGGTGGAAAAATACATACTCCAGTTCTGAGTTCAGACAAAGCAGGAAAGTTTAGAACTGTCAATCTGACAGTTATTAAACTGGAAATGACTGAGATATGTAAATGCCGAGATACACTTATTTTTATTTCTCCTATCTAGAATATTTGCTTAAGATCTCCACATGTTTGTTTACTTTGGAACTGATCATTAAAAGACGGGACTTTTTTCATTCTAGACTTCCCGATTTCTTGGATCTAGCCATCCACAGCTCTTGGATAACATAATGGTGCTAACCTGAAAATTGCCTAGACTTTTTACACTTTTGGGGTTCTTGTTTTTTTCAGTACATTTGAAAAAAGGTTTGGATTATGGTAGAAACTGCATTGGTAAGAAGTCAATACTTTAGATCCTTTATAAAATCAATCTGTATTCATATCATATTAAGGCATTACTATAACTCATTACCAATTCTTGAATCGTCATGACTGTTTAATATATGCCAGATCTCAATGCCTGCAATCTATTTAGCACAGCCACATTATCATTTGCTTGCATAAAATTCAAGGGCTCACATAACTATATGTCTCCAAGCTATCTTTTAGACTAAATTTAGATTTGATCACCCAGAATCTGTACACTTCCCCAGTTCAGATCTCACTGTTGCCCTGCCCAGGGTGGCTGGAATTTTAGGGAAACCCCAGCTAACTACACAAAACTTCGAGAAGCAAGAAAATAAAGGGTGCAAATCAAGATTTAAATAAAAGGAAAAAAGCAAGCGACAAGTATGAAAACACCATGGCCATGCTGATAACAGCTTGTGTGATCCCTAACTTCCACATCTCCTCCACAAACAGCCATATACATAACCAAGTCAGAAAAAGGAACTTTGAGGAGAAAAAGAGTAGGCTTTGTGTATCAACTTACAGTTTTAGAAGATTAATAAACCAGAGCTCTGATTCAGTGTATGCTACATATGCTTACAAGGGTTACCCTTTAACGTCAAAGAATACATTGGAAGTATGAAATAGAAGTTTTACTATTTTTCTGTGACTGCAAAAACATTTACAGTTGGTATTTTTAAACTTCAGTAAAATATCTTCAGAAGGCTCCTTGATGATTCAGTCAATCTTCATGCCCGTATAACATTCCTTGTTTGATTTCAGCTTTAATATGTTTTTTTCAATTTGTTGTTGCGTTCATAACATACCCAGAGCCCCACTGTTCTATCATAAGAGCATGAAAGTATTTTAGTGTCTTCAAAGCAAAAATGGCAGGTGCTCATAGTATCACTGTGTCCTCTCAGAATTTGAAATTGGATCTGTAAAGGAACACAGCAAAGTTTAGGAGTATTTTTCCTTGAAACTATTTTTGACAGCTTAGTCCACGAGGGGGAGTATGAAAGCAGGAACTGGAGGAGAAAAAAAAATTTTAAGTTCCCCTTCTCTGAGAAGAGTTCACATTCTCTCCTTGGTACTAACTTGGAGCGGATTTACCAAATCCGGTTGAGAAAGAAAGGTTGACGGATGTGGATTTTATTTTTATTTTTCTGGAGGGGAAGGAGGCTTGGTTTGGTTTCCCAATTCTTCTTCCTCTCATGAAAAGTAAAATTTACCTTTAAATCTCATGAAGTCTCTCTCAAGTCTTTCAAACACTTGTTTCCTTGATTCTGGCCCATCAAAGGGCAGCACATCAAGCTCTCAGGCCACGGGTTTTAGCCAAGAAAGTTACAAATTTTGTCAAAGATATTTTGAAAAGGCTTTTCTTCAGTCATTTAGGAGTTTGCTCATGACTGTCCAGCATGCGTCTGTGTGAACTGAGCTAAAAAACAGCCGCTGTGAGCATTAACCACACGTAAAGCGACAGCGAGCTTTTCAACCCTCGGCTTCCAGCAGCCTCCGACTACCCCTGGGAACGGTGCCCGGCCTGCCCCAGCCCTGCCCGCCCGCCCGCCAAGGCCGGGCCCTCGCTCCCCTCCCTACCTGCGC